CGCACATCATTTGAGAACATTTTCAAGAAAGGAAATGAAAAGTTACATTGTTGCCACCTGTGCTGATTACTCTCATGAATTAAGAGAGCCCAAAATATTTTTTTCCCCTGTATGGTTTAAGGAAAGACAATACAAAAAAAGAGAGGCAGTGAGCATGCAGGAATCCCCAGTGAATGTAAAAATCAGTTGCATTTCCCAAATCCGGGGCTAGCCCCTGGTTCAACAGCAGAGGGAATTTGAAATGCTGCTTGAAATGCTCAACCAAGAGCTGCAAAGGAGGTATTAGCTCTTTGTTTATTTTAATTAATTATATTTATACACACACTCATAAAGATAGTTGTTTTGTACTTCCTTGCTGGTAAATAGTGACGAAAACACAAAATACGTTTTCTCCCTGGTTTAAATTTTGCTATTGCTGCACTGGAGATTAGAATATCCTACCTGGGTTCGTACACATCCCTTCCTCTTTGAATACTTATCGCTGCAATTACCTGCATGGTTTAAAATGAACATTAAGTTGGTAATCATTACCAAGCCAGCTGGGATGGATGGATACTGAAACAAGAGATTGTAGTTGTTTATTTGCAAAGCTAAATTTGCTTTGTGTTATGTTAAAAACATTAACTCTTGGCTTGATTTCAAAACTGATGAGCATCCAAAATGCTATTGAACTCAGTGTGTAATGCTTGTGAAATGCAGGTCTTGTGCAAAATGCAATGTATGATTTTATTCCAACTACATGTCAGCAGTTTCAAAGTAATTTGGAATTTTTACTGGTAACTTTGGAGTTTACTTTTTCTTTGTATACTTTTCGGTATGATGAGGTATCACCAAGGCTCTGAAGAGTCACTTGACCTGTAGGATGAGTCAGATTGTTTTCTTGATCAGCCCTGTGGAACTCTGTCAACAGAGGCCACATGCAATTACCCACAGGCAGGATCTGAGCCCACGACGACATGGTGGGAGCATTCTCTTGCAAAGTTCTAGCAAAAGATCTAGGAGAACATGTGTGTATGAGCATGAGGTTATTGCCAGTACCAGGAGGGATGTGACTGTTCTCTTTAGGAAAACCCATGCCCTCTCCATCTTTCATTTGGAAAGGAACATAAATTGCCCAGAGACCTGTGTGGTGAGTTCTCATGAGAACAATGACACTCCAAGGGGCATCGTGTTCACAGGGACAGCTGTGAGCTTCCACCCAGGCCTGTCACACTGCACTGTTTGGAACAGCCCCTCCCACCTCCCCCAATCTCACATACCCCAGCACCTGCACCCCAGCTCCCCTCCTGCCCTGCTCTGCTGGCCCCTTTGGCATCACTGGGGAACAAATGTATTTGGTTTCCTCCTTCAGCCACTGAGCACCAACCGCAGCCACACTCATCACTTACAGGGGGTTGGTTTGCCACTTGGGTTTTTTCTTGGCTAAATCACTGCACTGACAGGGACACCTCAGTACAGCAGCAAAGTTGACCTTTTATCTTCCTGCTTTGACATTACTGCCATTACAGTCCCTGCTGAGAGTAAATGGCAAACAAAATGTGTATTCCAAGATTTTTCAAGTGCTCCCTTCTTCCCTTTGCCTTTTGGCTCAATGCTATTGATAGCACCCAACCTGCCAGGTCATTTAACTACCACAATACCACATAGCAAATGCATGACACACTATAGACTTTTTCTTCTCCCTACTGCATATCACAAAAGGTAGCACTAGGACTCAAACAAAAACAAATTACCTCAGTAACTCCTGGAAAACTCAAGTGGTTAATCAGTTACCTTTTATTTACATATATATGCTTAATGCTGAATTAAGTTGTAAAAACCAAAGGCTGATTTATAGCCCCAGTCAGCTTTAATTAACATTGATTCCAGGGGAATAGTAAATGTGAATAGCCTTCACAATTGAGATTGAACAATGAACTCACTGGGTGTTGTCCAATTTGTAGCATGATTTACATGGAAGCAAGCCCTTCTTTTTCTAGGGTTACCCCTTTTTTTATCTGGTGTTTAGGATGGGTTATATATAATCCATAGATAGGAACATTTGCTGTCAAATATTCTCCCTGATTTAGAGTTAGCCTTTACCATGGTCACTATAAATAAGGGAGAAAAAAACCCAATTTGAGGCTTTGCAGGGATTCCTTTTTCTTGCAATGTGTCATCGCTTCTCCATTTCATGGCATTTTTACGAAGTGGCCATAATGAAAGTCAGATTAAATGTACAGGATATATACATTTAATCAACAGCCATTGGAGTCAGTAGTGCTGGAAGAGTTATAAAAGCCCCTGTGAATGCAAATTTATTGCAAAAGAATCTGCGTCTCAGTGGTAGGAATATCTGCTGAATGGTACTACCTGACACAGAACACCTAAAACTTTCAAAAGTGAATTATTTAAGTGTAAGGCTTTGCTTGTAAAGCCGCCAGCTGCTGGATTTCAAGACTTGAAACTGGTCCAAAACATGGGACTAGGTACTTTATTTGTGCACTAGAGTAAATACTCTGATTTTACTGCCAATTTAAATGTGCTCAGTTTACAGTAATGAGCTTGTATAGGCAATACCTTGTTTATAGAAAGTGGAACAGGAAGAAACTAACATTAACCATTAACAGTAGCAATTTCTCTTGCTTTCAGCTCTAACTTTATGCCAAATACATCCTTCCCATGTCCTATCTGAAATATTTACTATTACTGTTCTTTTTCTAAGTCAGTGGAATAAATGGAGGATTCAATAAAATCATGCAGCTTTCCTTCCAGTCAGCTTGAATTGCAGCCCTCTTTTGTAATTCCAAGGCACTATTTCTCATTCCTATGGTGAAATGTATTTCAAGAACAAATGTATATCCTCTGTACTAGCAAACCTGATGATAGGTGTTAATCACAGTAGAATGGAGTTAACATTTTTTAATCTATTTTAAAAAAGAACAGACCACTTTTCTAAGGGAAATGTACTGAATTGTGGCTGCCACAATTTCTCAGGTTCTTGTACTCAACCAAACTGCTTTATTCTTTCAATGCAGCTCACACGAGAAGCCCATGTGTTTATGTACATCCTGTCACCTTAAACAAACATGCTTACATCTTCTCTGGCCATCTGCTCTTGAAGCTGGAAGCTTTTCTCCCTTCCCCTCCCTCCTCAGCACCCCCCAACACACTCACTGGGTGCAGAGTTAACTCGGAGAATACTCACTGGAAAGCATGAAGTAAATTCCTTTTTCCACACAGGTCACAGATCTGTGTCTCTTTGCTTCACTTATAGTTTAAAAGTGACAGTGATACCCCAGAAGATCTTGGCTTATGGTGTTGGTCACTAGAGATCGTACTGGTGATTCTTTCTCCATCTCATTTTGGGTTAGCTCCAGAACACCCTAACAGGGACCAGTACTTGTGTTTGGTGAAGAGTTTCATCACTGAGCAGGAAGACACCAGCACAGTTTGAGGAGCTCACAGAGGTTCAGGATAAATAGGATATGCAAGGAAAGCAATGGTAGTGGTGTGGTAGGTCCTGAGTTCAGCAAGCTCTGAAAACCTAAACAGAAGGGGCAAGGGGAAATAAGGAAAGGACATGCTCTGGAATGGATGGAGGGACACACAGCAGAGGCTGAAGTTTGAGGCATAGGGAAGATGAGGAACACAACACAAACACGCTGGTAATAGCAAAAGCACATGGAATTGTTGGTTTCTGTGTAGTTTTCCAGGCAGGCACAGGTTCCTCCCACACATGGCCGCAGTGGGCCGGACACAAGTGAGCTCTGGAGCAGGAGCTGTGACAGTGCAGTCACTGTGGCACCGAGCCTGAGCTAATAAATCCTGCTGAGAGGAACACAGCTACAGGACTTCCATTTGGCTTGGAGAATAAGTTTGAGCAAGCTCATGTCTGGTAACTGAAAACTCTACAGATGTATTTTTGCTTTTCTGTGTATAAAGATGAACCAGTTTCTCTCACCTGTGTATCTCTGATTGGAACTGAGATTCCTCAAGCTTTCAAAGGATCCCTGTCTTTATAAACACAGCCATGTGTGCAAAAAAACCAAACTGGGTGGTGAACACTCCTCTCTGTGTGTGAACTCCTGCTTTCAGTGGAGTCAGGGGTAAAACTCTGTATTTCAATGAAACCAGGACATCCTCTTACACATTTAAAGTTGTATTTCATGGAATCCAATAAAATCCATTGATATCTGGACTCCAAGGAAACCAATTGGTGCATGGACTTTTAGAACACTTTCATTCTTAGAAAGATTTAAAAGACAGAAATAGTCTGAATACCTGGAAAACTTTTCACTCAGTCATTTTCATGTAGTGACTTCTTTAATACCTGCTAATAAATAATTGCTGTTCTTAATTCAGCAGAAAGTGACATGCATGCAGCTACCAGTAAAAATCTACTTTAAATAAACTCATTTGTCATTACCTTTCTCAACACAGCTGTTGTCAGCACCATTACCATTTAAATTTGTTTTGCCCCTGACAATTAAAATGATATCAACACTGAGAGAATGTAACAATTTCCATTGTTCCTAGCAGATAAGCAAGTTAATTTTGTGCTGCAAGCCGTCACTGTAGCCATAATTAACTGACTGTGTATTGAAGAACTGTGATGTTTGAGATTATTCAGCCTTGACTGGGATGTATCAGTGACTAAATGTTTACTTACTGAACTGAGTGATTACTCCAAAACCTTGTCTTGTCTCCAGCAGTTTCAAGGCTTTTTCTCTGATACAGGTATTTCTTTTTTTAGTTTATTTGTTACAGTTTTTGAACCATATTTGAACATCAACCAATGTTTAGACTTTGATGTTGCTTCTATAATGACACTGCTATAGAATACAGAAAGACATCAGGCGCTGACCTCAGCCTGAACCCTTGAAAACTGTAATTTTCACACACACAAAAAAGTTTCAGTTCTTTTGTATTAGAATCTGCAGCTTTTCTCATAAGTTTGTTGCTAGATACATTACTGTTTGTTCATGCAGGAGACCTGATGACTTTTCTTCTTTTTCTAGATTTTCATCAATAATGAGTGGCAGAATTCTGAAAGTGGAAGAATATTCCCAGTATATAATCCAGCAACAGGAGAACAAATATGTGACATTCAGGAAGCTGACAAAGTAATGTATCCCATGAATGACTACATGTTTAATGTATAAATTAAATGTATAACAAATAAGAGAAATGTATAAACAGATCAAAGCAACCAGTCCAGTATAGCACTGTTTGGACACTTCTTTATTAACCATAATTCCAAGACCTATCATGTGACAGCAAATTCCATAAGCCTGCTTGTGTTATTTACCTGTGTCTTCAATTTTCTTCTTCCTTCTTCCCAGGTTGATACAGACAAGGCAGTGAGGGCAGCTCGGCTGGCTTTTTCCCTGGGGTCCGTTTGGAGGAGAATGGATGCCTCGGAAAGAGGCCATCTCTTGGATAAGTTAGCAGACTTGGTCGAAAGGGACAGGGCAATTCTTGCTGTAAGTGACACATAAAAATCAGTTGATAGTTTTACGTGCTGAAAGCAAATTCCTTCATGAAGGGGTTGATATGAATTGTGTGAAAACTACATGCAGCTTCCTGCCTGAAATGGCTTTGTCCACTTACAATGTGATGCAAAACCCCTAAAAGCCAACGAGGGGCTTCCAGTGGGCTCAGATCAGCTTTAAATTGGACATCGCGCAAAAGCAGGGGTGTGCACACGGGCGTGCCTGCCATGCACACCTGTAACTCTTCTAGAGTAAGAAATGGCAGGTTGGGATGATTTGTGCAGATGGGAAGGGAGGGCAGGTGAGGAGCTTAGGGACACTCAGCTGGTGACATGAAATCCGGGTGCGGCTCCGTTTCGCTCTCGGATGGAGCCATCGGAACGGTGGCATTGTTAATGTTGTTTTCCGCATGTCAAGTGCTTTGAACTAAGCCCGTGAACATCTTAATTCCAGCTTTGTCAACACTTAAATCATCTTACCGCCAGCAGATACTGTAAAATCGCCATGGGGAGAAGGAAGTGCACAGCAAATCAAGTTTACTCTGCCTGTCATTTAATTTTTATTTCTGAAGCCAAGTTCTTTACTGAGTTGCGCTGCAGGCAGTGCCATTAATTGCTCTTGGGGATATAAGTCAGTGCAGAATTAGGCCTCCATTCTTCTCTATAGAAACTCATTTGATGGTTGGTGTGTTACACATGGGCGTCCTTTGCCCATTCTTAATGATTACTATTAGACAGCTATTGAGAATGAGTTAAGCTACTCAACATCTTAGGATATTTTATTGGATTTTTTTTGCTAAATGATCTTAGGAACCCCTAAGAGGATAGCTTAGAAGATACTTTTAAAAATAGGAATATTAACTAAAAAATAAATACATTAGCTTGTTAATTTATGAGCTTCCCTAGAGGAAAGTTTGTTTATTTGATGGCAATAAATAAACTGGCTGTACAGTATAGATATCTCAGACCTCAGCAGGAGTCTTGGCAACCATATAGAGAAATTTTTATATTCACATCAATTATATAAAGAGGGATGTGTCCATTCTTTATGGATTCAGATCATTAATACAGGGTTACAAGGAGCCCCTTCTCAGCTGTTATCATTAACATAACAGAACCCAGTTTGACAGGCATTTTTATCTTGGCTCCTGATTAAAGCGATTCAGCATTTATAGATCTGGACCAAACACAGTGGCTATTAGGTTCAAAGTACACAAAGGCACATGTACATGCATGTGGATACACACATAAACCCACAAGACAGACGAGCAGACAAACACACATAAACACACACATATGTTCTTAAAATCATAGCCATTCCAGAATACTCCAGAAGAAACCAGTTTGGGTTTTTTAAGGAAAAGACATTCTGTTCACATTTATGAAAAGGAGCAACAAAGAGGATCAGATAATTGTTCAGAACCTTCTGGGTTAAAATTACATCAAGGTGCAACTGATAGGTCTTCATTAAAATCTTTGTCACAGTTCAAGAGCTGTTGAGATGGTCAATACTTAGGAACAATAGTCCAAAAATATTACTATACTTACATCTCTTAACTTTTTCTTGTCCTGCAGACTATGGAATCACTGAACAGTGGCAAACCATTCTTGCAAGCTTTCTATGTAGATCTCCAGGGAGTCATAAAAACCCTGAGGTATTACGCTGGTTGGGCAGACAAAATCCACGGAATGACCATTCCTGTAGGTAAGGGGAATTAAAGCACAGCTGTGCACCTAAACCTTCTCATGGCCAGACTAAAGCTTGGTAGCTCACAGCTTCATAGAAGGCAGAGGAGAAGCCTGGGTTGCTCCTCCAGTGTGTAGTGTGTTGCTGAAGCAGATGTTGGAAAGTCAGCAAGGGGAGGACTGGGTGCCCGGCTCTTGTTGTGCCCCACATGCACATGTGATGAGGGCTTGGTTTCTTTTGCATGCGTTCATCTGACAAGAAGATAGCTCAATACCTACATTTAATTATTGACACATGTGTAAAAATAGATGGGATAGAAGCCTGGAAAATACTTTGGAACTAATGAAAATAGTGTTGGGTGCCTGTTTAAGAAACAGTATCATTATGTATCAATCTGGTTTGTATATGTCTCCTTACTGCTTTTGCAAACAATTTTACCTTGGACTAACACTGGATCTAACTCAATTTATATTTTGAGAGCATTCTTAATGTTACTATAGGGAACTACATACATATGAGATATATTTTGTTATAGATGCTTCTTCAAATTATTCAGTGGGATGAGTTTTATATTGTATATGAGATAAACCTTCATGTGTGCGATAAAATCATTATGTTCTTATTCTTTTGCTAAAGAAAGGCGAAAAAATCCTTACCATTATTTTTTCTTCAACAACTCTCTTCTTCCTGCCCTTCCCTCCCAGCTGTTTTACAAATACAGGCTGCATTGTCTGATGCAAACATATTCATTTGCAGTCCGGACTAGATGTACCAAGTGCTATAATTACACGACATGGCAAAAAAGCAGAAAATGATTTTATGTAGGTACAGTCATTAAGATAAGTGTACTCGTCTTTCATCAGCATAAAACAAATCTCTGGAAAAGCATTAAGGAAAACAAACATTCATTACATGGATTCTTTTTGGCTTCATGGTGCACGTGTTCATTGCACATGAGGGCACACTCAGGGATAAAGGCCCATTGCTGTTGCCCAGATATTTCCCTGGTGTTTCACTGTGTGACAGTATCTGCAGTACTCTCACTCGCCTCTCTACAGCAAAGCACCAAACTACCCAAGTGAGGCAAGCAGATAAACTGAAAATGTGCCTTCTAAAATTTTCAGAAGGGAAACAACCTGTAACTTGTCTTGCAGTGTTACTCATTTTAGTGTTTCACCTTATTAAAATTGCAGTGTGCACTGACTGGTGTTTATCTTCACTATCTTATTTTCACCAAGGAAATGACAATAATAATATTTCAGGAGTAGACATTCCTACAAGGACTCAAAGTTTTCCACAGTCATTTAGACTGAGATTCGTAAATCCCAGTTTTGCTGCTTGCACTTCACATTTAATCACACAAAAGTGCAGACCACACCATAAATTCATGTATTCAGCAAATTTCCTGTTCCCTAATCTCCTTCTCCCTGGTCAGTGAATGCTTCTTTCTCAGTCCTTAGCCCCACAGGTACACAGAAATTAGGTCAGCAACCAAAAGGCACTGCCAGATTAAGGAGAAGAAATATTCTCTGCTTATTCTTGGTTTCAAGTACCTTATAGGATAAAACCTGATTTTTTTTTTCGGTAAGGTGGGCTATGGTGGGTGAAAGGAAGGCACATTTTCAGCATGCCTTCCTCAGTGCAAACTTTATGCTAACACAGTTTTCAGTAGTGTAAAATCATAAGTCCATTCACAAATCTTCAGGGGATCAATTAGTTCTTCTTCGTTTAACACTTCTCTTTATTCCTCTGCTTTCACACCATAAATTTGTCATTCTCATGAAGCTATTTTGGGGCAAAGCCGCTGTTAAACAGTGGTGCTCTTTATGTTCACTTACCATCAGCTCACCAAAGATAAGACAACAAAACCAAAAAAACCCCCACTATTAAATCTTGTCTTTCTATTCAGTGTGCTAATAAATCTGAAACCTCCCAATCTTCTGTTGTTGCTGTTTTTGTTGAAGTTTTCTTTTCCTGTAAAATAAAAATAGGCAATTGATAGACAAGTAGAAGAAGAAGTGTGTTTTACAGTCACATTCCTTTTGGTCCCAGAGCTACAAAACCTTCAGACTGCCCTTTGCTTGCTCCCATGCGTAAAGCCTTGATGATTTAAATTAAAACAGAATGAGGCTAGGCCAGAAACTGTTAAACTAATAAACTGAAAGCAAGCAGAAATGTATCTTTAAAGCAATATATGCTATGATACAGTTTAAAGAGCCAATTCAGCTCTCCTCACCCACTTGTTTGCTGTGTCCTGCTATATGAGACATGGGACTGTATTATGGTTGTTATGCAAATAAAATATCCATGCTGGAGACTCCTGATGGAAATCTGAGCAAACACATCTGTGGAAGATATTGCTGTCCCAAAGTGAGATCCCTGGATAAATGGGACTTGCTTTCTGATTAAAAAATGAAAGTCTTTGGGCCAGGTGCTAAGCAGCTGCAAATTGATCTTGCTCTATTAATATCAGTGAGGACTGAAGAATGTCAGTTTACTTCAGCTGAGTATATTAAAAAAAACTCTTTAACACAAAATTTTAGATTGGATGTGGGATCAGTGTCAGGTCCCTCTGGCGGCCAGCTAGTAAAGGATAACAATCATCAGCCACAGCATCTTAGAATAAGGGTCATTAGCATGACTTAAAACACTCAAACATTAAAAAAGTCTGTATAATTTGTAAGCACAAGGAACTTTGCTTACTGTTTAGAATAACGGAATTAAGCTAATTCAATTTCTTAAGCTATTTTGTCATGGTAACAGCTTGTTCTGCATTATGGACAGGGTGTCTCTTAGATCCACCTTTGGCCTGTCCAGAGACATCCAAGGCTTCTGAAGAACTTCAAGTCACATATGTTCCCAAAGATATTGTTAGAAAGCAACCTCAAAAATCCCATCTTGACAGAAAATCTGTGGATGATGAACTTTGGAAGTAGGTGTCAAAAAGGGCATCTGTCTAGAGTCTAGTGGGAGACAGCAGGGAGAGCAGCTCTGCATGGGAGGCACCGCTCTGCGGAAAGAACGTTCTGCCTACGCTGGGCAGAATTAACCACCATTTGTCTGCCTTGGTAAGAGGTTCAGGTTATCTATAACTCTGTGATGAAGCACGCAGACATGTGGCAGTGATTATGCAGTGACAATCTAAAGTCAGACAGTGCTAATGTAACTGTGTTACTGTTATGTTGCCACCATCCTTCTGGCTTAGAACCCACCTCTCACAGTACTACCGAGTACAAGCTGGTATTTTTAGCTGACTCCTCTGTGTTCCTCTTGAGCACTTAGACAGTTTTGCTTGTATGTACTTCTCTGTATTTTGATTTCTACTTTGCTTCTGTCAGATCTGATGAATCTTCCTATAGTCTGTGAACCACTGCTAGCATCTGTGAAAGATAACTTGGAAAACCAAACTGATCATCTCAGTCTGTGGCACAAATAGTCTCATCTTCACTGGGGAGTTGTCAAACATCTGGAGATCAAAACATTACAACAGCGTTTTGTCAATGCAGTGCAAACCAACTGATAAACTATTTTCTTCTGCCTTTCCCTGAATCTCTTTTCTCTCTTTCCATCCCTCCTTTATTTTCTCTGCTCTGTCCCTTGTCTTGGTTGCAGACTATTGTTACCTTTCTCATAATTATTCTGTATCTGGCCCCCAGTTGACATTTAGCTACTCTAGCTCAGGTTTCTACTGAGCAAATCCTGTAAAGCAGATGGATAGAAATAAGCAAACCTGACAATAAGTTATTTCTAATCAAATTCAAGTTGAAGTCTTCTTAAACCCACGAAATTTTAAGGATTAACCTGTTTATTGTTACCAGATAAATCTTAGAGGATATTGCAGCAGGTTTCCAAAACACACTCTCCATTGCGAAGTCAGGCCCTTCCCCACTATTGCACAATATCTTCACTATTGATATAAGAGTGGCTGCAGCTTTGGACTGAAAGAGGGGAGAGGCGGAGGCAGCCACTTCCCAGCCCAGCCTGGGAGGGAAAGCACATACCCTGTGTGAGACAGAACAATGGGAGCAAAAGCCCTGTAATCTCTCCTCCTCCTCCTCTTACTCCCTTCCGCTGTGTAACCTTTTCTTATCCTGGTAAATCATCTCCTGCCATTAAGCCTAGGTAACTTCATCATTTTCACATACTTAGCTGAAATTATTTTCCCAAGTTAAGAGATTTGAGGTTTTCTAGATGACCAAGCACTACAGGCCAAGGGGCACATTCAACACATGCCTTTAGCATAGGCATAGCCTTTCCCTCAGCTGTAGCCACACTGAAAAACATCTCACCTAAATTCAGAGATAGTTTGACTCTGGGCTAACTTATACAGCTACGAGACTCAGCTGAGGTACAAAGGTGCAGTAAATGTACTTTGCACAGATGCAGGCTGAGCACACTAACAAAGCTACTGTTTAGACAGTACCTTAACTGATCCTTTAACCGGTCCCCACACAGCAGGTCCCTTTCTGGCTTTGTTAACTATGTAGAAACCTGCATGTAGAAGCTCAGCACGTGCTCCCAGACCTCAGGAAGTAAATGATGCTCAGTCACAAGTCACAACTTTCCCTCTTCATTCCACATCTAGAGATTGTGGTACAGCATTCCATCACTTCACACTGCCTGTGTCCCCAATGGCAGATGAGTCAGCTCAGTGTTACTCTATTACCCCACACTGGGTTGTAATTCCTTAATATTGTTGTGTTCCACTCATGCCTTTCAGGAAATTGCCTTTGTGTTGTGACTCTTCACTTCTCTCACCCTTAAACCAGCTGAGGCCAGTAAGTGCTTCCATGCTACTGCAATTTTATGTGCAGAACAGCTCTTTGCCAAGGAACAAAGCAGGTTACTTTCTGATGGGAAGCCTGCTTCCTTTGTTCTACAGAAAGAATAATTAGGTTGCTCCTGAACCTAGGTTTCCCATGCTGGCTCACAAAAAAACACTTCCATGACTTCTTTATTTCTTTAACTGCCATCAAAGGCTGATCCTTAGAGTTTTTTCCCTCCCTCTATTTTAATTTTTTTTTTGTTCTGCCAAGTCAAACTGCACTTGAGAGTAAGCATGCTCATCTGTTTCAGATGGAGATTATTTTACGTTTACAAGACATGAACCCATCGGAGTGTGTGGACAGATCATCCCTGTGAGTATCTCTACCAGTGCTTTCTATTTATTTTCATTTGAACCAGTTCTCTTTAAAGACACATAAAACATGGTCTTCAGCTATGTGTGTTTTCCATTACGAAAAAAGCTGAGCTCATATTGTTGACATATCTTTAACAGCCTCCCTGCAAATGCTTATTTGAACATGCTAATAGGGTTTAGGCTCTGTTATTAGGAGTTAAGTTCTCAAGTCATAGAATTCACATGATTAAAACAAGCAAAGCAAAACACAGTGTTAATATGCTGTCAGTGGTTATGGATGTTCACACAACTTATGGAAAATTGATGCTTTGCTGTGGTAGTCTCTTTATTTATTTAGTTTTTACTGTGATTTAACAGGCTCCTCAGTTCCTGGGAGAATTTGATGTATTTTAATTCCATTCTTTCCTTCTATTTCTTTTACAAGGCTGGAAGAGAAAAGGAAACTCCAGGAAACGTATCATTACAATTAACATTGCGTAGCTAATAGAAGACATGAAATGTTTGTTTTATTTGTTGTGAGAGAGAAACACATCATTTCATCAAATCCAATACTCCTCCTACACCCCAGCAGACACCCTCATAATAAAATCTTGTTGAACACTGCATGGGAATTGCACTGAGAGGGTAACTTTTTCAGAAGAGCCAGTTAGCCAGGTTTGGCAGAAATTTCAATGGGAAGCTCACATATAGCTATTAAAATATTGCATGGAAGCTTTTTGGCTTGACAAAACACTGGGGGACTAATCAGATCATTCTCTGAATTATTTTTTTTATGTTGATTTTTTATTTTGTTCACATTACCACAAAGCAACTAAACAGAAACACAAAGCAATTCTATAACAAGAGAAGCAGCCAGAAAAGATTACTTTAACAATGTTAAGCCCCTTTCCCCTATTTATATTTGTTATTATTTAATGTCTTTGTTAAGGGGTAGCTTTTGTGTTTGGCACTTGGCAGAAACCCAGAGAAATATGCAATGACTCAGAGAGTCTGTGGCTACAGCCATCCTGCAAACACCTACACACTCTCCTAACTTGGTCCTTATGAATGAAAGATTCCATAGCTATGTCCCCTTTCCTCAGCCAGGCACATACATAAGCATTTCCTAAACGACAACCCCAACATCTAACCCCAGCACTGCTGGACATCTCTTGTGCTTGTTTCACTGAGCTTAACTGACAGAAACTGCTGAAGAAACTTGGCCACAGGCTGAGGATTGTGCCAAAAGCAGGATTTATTTAGTTAAGATGTGTAAACCTTTGTTTGGGGTACCCAGTCACCTACCACACGTTAGTTCTTCCCTCAGTTTTGCCCTCCAAAGCCTGAAGATGCCTGTCATATCCATCTATTCTAACACCACTGCTGATCTGTTCTGTGTTTCCTCCACGCTACCAGTCCCAGAGGACAGCCCAGGCCGCTGCATGTGCTTTGCCATTGCCTGAGCAAATACATTATTCAAAAATAAAATTAAACAGCAAGTCTAACACTGAACTCCTCATCCTCTTTCACATCCCAGCTTCCATCAAAACATGTGCTCTTTGGCAGTGCTGTAGCATAAACAGGGCTATATAGTGCCCTATAAAACTGCTGTGAGCTCTCCTTGCAATGCCATTAGAAGTGCAGGCTGTTAGCACACTGCTGGCCCGACAGCTCCCCTCCCAGGTTTATGTACTGGAGATGGAATTAAAACATCACTTTGTCTCCGGAGTTTATAAACAACAGAGGGAGTAAAAAATTGGGTGTTCGGTGAAGGAAAGACAGTTGTGTATTTTTTCAAGCTAGCCAGGGGCTAGAGAGATGTCTGAGAGTGGCAGCTGATATGCATCAGGCAGCAACAAGTTCTGGCCAGTGGCTGACTCTGTGACTGATACTTTCTATTCTCCTTCTAAAAGAGACTGTTGTACGCATTTGTAAGAGTGATTGTGCAAGCACAGTTATTTTATTACTCTGACAATTTCACTAAAATCAGCAGGACTATCCGCTTAACCTGCTAGGATCAGGCCTTGGTGCAGAAGGCTCGTTACTTTTATCCAAGGTACATTTGCTCATCAGACTAATATAATTCACTACATCATCTGCTGCAGTTCAATGAAGTTATAATGGATGACAATACAACATTTTATAGCAGTGAAGAGTTTCTCAACTTGTTTTTTACTGTCCTTTTAACATCTCCCACATAGATTTCTCAGTAAGAAATCTTCAAGAAAATGAAAAGTTTTGATTGAACACTGACATTTATGGACTTTTTATTGTAATTCCATCAATTAAGGATTATATAATTTTGAGTATAAATTTTATATCTTAAGATGTATTCATGGATATGAAATTTACATCCAAAACTGCATCAACATGAACAAACAGTTCTTTCCAAATGTATCAGAAGCAAGACCTATTTTTATGGAACAATTAAAAGTGCCAATAGCAAAACAGTAAATGAAATAAAAAGTTGTGACTTAAAAAAGTAACAGATAACATTTTTTTTAATGGAGATTGCAGGTAAGGGTTGTATTTCTTGGAAAAGGGGAGAAAGAACTAAGAAGTCGCTGTTGTTGTTTTCTTAATGGCAGTAATTAAAAAAAAAAAAATAAATCCTTGCTTTGTGCTGGGAAAGATTTATGTTGAGGATCAGCCTGAGAAATAAGTGAGGTATCAGCTTGACATCTTGAAAGCAAAACACCACGGCAATATTTTTCCATCTATCAACTTTTTTTTTTCCTACAGTGGAACTTCCCCCTGCTGATGTTTGCATGGAAGATTGCTCCTGCTCTGTGCTGTGGCAATACAGTAGTTATTAAACCAGCAGAACAAACACCACTCAGTGCTCTCTACATGGGTGCCCTCATCAAGGAGGTAAGAAGAACTGAGGGAAGTGATGTCTGTCTCTCCTCGTGGAGAGGGAACTACCAGCACATGCCTGCTGCACACATTCTCTAACAGTTCTTGTAAGTCATGCTTACCTTCATTCATTCATTCCTGTTTTGACAGGCTGGCTTTCCACCAGGAGTTGTCAATATTTTGCCAGGATTTGGTCCAATTGTTGGTGCAGCCATAGCTTCTCATGTTGGCATTGATAAAATTGCTTTCACTGGATCCACTGAGGTAAGAGCATTCACACACTACTGTAAAACATGAATAAATACTTCAGTCCTTGTGCTAATTTTCTCACTGTCACTGAGTAAAAGAGCTACATCTAAATTGCAGTGGTCTGTGCTTCCCAGCTAAACTCATGTACCACAGGACTTCCCAAGCACAAACGGCTCCTTTCCTCCAGCCCCTGCTGTGCTCGGCACCTCAGCACAGGAGATATGCCTGGAAAAATATTACTGGGATTTCCTGTGGGCTTATGAGGATGTGAATCACATGCAAGTAGGCAGAACATCCCGTGTATATCATAGCACACATAAGTGCTGCTTTAACATCCATAATTTGTGTATCCTGCTGTACTTGGGGAAAAGGGAGAGGAAGGGAGCAAGTTGTGCAAATACACTCCAAATTTGATGCTGCATTCAAGTATATTGAGGATGAGGAGGAGACCTAAAAAGGAAGGAATGCAGGGAGAAAAGGAGATTGTCCAAGGTGTCAGTTCCCAAAATGATGGAAAGAAGCTGGCCAGAGGATAAAGGGAGCCAGTTGTCTCCTGGATGCCAAAATGTCTTGCTATGAGTCTATGCTGCAGTTGTTTGAGAGGAGGCTCACTCTGAAGATGAAGGCTGCAATCTACAGCAAGACTAACCCCCAAAACTCTCATCACATCTTGCTTTCAAATATGTGCCAAGCTGGCTGTTATCAGGGTTGGGGTGGGGATGACAGAGGTACTCCAGACTGAAGTCACAGGAGAAGGGGCCTTATCTCATCGTCTGAAGGCAGACAGAAAGGAATCTCTGTGGGAGTTTCAGGGCTGGTTATATTTAGAGAGTGCTAAACCCAGCCCTTTTCAATTCAAAATCTGACAAACTATTGTATGGAGGGAGCTAAACCCCAGGGATCCAGTCTCTGTTTGATATGTTTGACTCCCACTCGTGGCAGTGGAAGGCTTTATGCATCCCGGGGATACTGCTCTTCACAGTGAGGCAATTTGTTTTTTGATTTGTGTTGATAAATTCACTGACCATGCAACCCTGCTAGATATGTATGGGTATCTCCCTGGTGGGCCCAAGGATTGCAGAGACCAGCTCAATTATTTCAAATAAATTATTCTGGTGGAATTATTCTGTAATTGAGTTTGCAAGTCACACACAAACCTAAATTACCAGTAAAACATAGCTGCAGTCGTATGCCTAATTTGCACACACAGGTGTTTTGCGATTATTATACGCCTGTACGTGATTTTTTTAATGACAGCTTCAGATTCTAACATACACCGGTTACATTCTAAGTCAATAGCTATATTAGATTTCAGATTATTCTATGGAATTACTCTAGTCATTATGTCTCCTGTATCCAATTAAGATTAGCATCCTGGAATACTGAAAATTTTAATATGAGCTGATTACCCCCCATAAATTAAGTTGAAACAATTGTTTTCATAAAGATATGTGGTCTCTGTTTAAGATAAATATTCTATTATACAGGATGTTGCACTGTTTGGAAGAAGAAAAATACAGATGGGTTAGGTTTCAAAGTTGTCTCTTGTAGCCAAAATAAATTTTATTGTAGTTCCAGACAGCTTTAGTTTTAATAGGCGTTTAAACTCAAAAGCTGTGGGTTTTATACTAACTCAGTGCCTACCTTTAAAAGCCTTACTAATAGGAAGTGAAAAGCATTACAGAGATGAAAAAGCAATTCTCTAAGAACCTAAAGCAAGAACAGATGGATCGTTTTAATGCAGAGTTAGTGTAAACTATTCCATATTGTTTCTGATTTCCTGTAACACTGAATTCTTGTAACAGCAAGTCAACATTGTAACATTTTAAACACCATGTTCTGATATGAGCTGGACTACAGTCTCTGACTCCTCCAAAGCAGATTTCAATTCCTAGAGAAATAGTAATGGAAGCATTTTTTCTCTCTTGTACTTGTCTGAAGCATGTCAACTGTACACTCCAGTGATGGGGATTTCCAATAGCCATTAGGTGTATAAACACCACGTATTAACTCCATTCCATCCATGTACTAGCTAAGGCAGTTCATGATGGGCAAGTTAATGATAAAACCTATCAGTACAAAAGCAAAGATCTTCAAACTGAGATTCTGAAGCACAGCTTTTCTCAAGCTTTCACCATGAGGTCCTTTTATAGAAATTCTTTACCTTTGAAGTATACTTATAGCTAATGAAAACTCCCCATTTGCCTGTAAAAATCACAAAAATGGGATATTATTATCTTTTTCCTGCAGTATTCTTAAAAACAGGCTGCTTCTCCTACAAAAAAAAAAAAAAAATTGAATGATGCTAATGTGTTCCAATATTTGTAGAACCCAATCCATAGAAATATGAGCCAAAAGGCCAAGTTCACAATCTTAACTCAATAAAGCCTGACACAGCCACACCACAGAGCCCTCCAGCCTCGCACTTTATCTTGCAACAGGACCAGTACCAGATGCTCACAGAAGAAGAGAGCATGTGTAGAGTGATACTTTCCTTGCTGCAGCCTCACAGCTTCTGACAATCAATGCCTTACACACTTCCTGAGCCCAGAGGTGCATGTGGACACTTGTATCCCATGTGCCAATGGCCTTGTCACCCGTCCATTGGTCCAGCTCTTGACACTCCTGATGACTGGGAGGCCTCAAGCCTGTGCCCATGCAATGACAACACAGAAATAACTTTCAACTTCTGCTTCTGATTTCTAATTTACAGCTATCCAGTGTGCACTCTCTTCTCTGGATTTTAGATTTTCGGGCGCTCTGAATTTTTCTTAAGTACTGCTGTTTACTTTTCACACACCCCCTACAAAATAATGTGTGAAAAAGCATAAAGAGCTCTTTTTCTCTGGCGCCATTACTGTTTGATTTCACTTCTCTCCCATCTTTCCTGTTGCCCCTCCTTTTATGGGTTAGCTTGCACACATTAAAAGAATAGTCTGCCAACTCTTTCATGCCTCAGCCTATCTGCTTATGAAACACCCTCCCATGGATCATCTTCCTCTCCCAATCCCCTAGTAAATGTATCTCAAAACTCTTCCCTCCACAGCTCACTTGGAAGGGGAAGGGTTCTGCAAACTCCTGGCAGGCTATGGATTTCACTCTGACAACTGTCACGCTGAAAGAGATAAAATCATACTGAGTATGAAAGGCCATCTAAAATACTGTGCCTCCTTAGATTCCAGTAGCTTTCTTGGCTTCTCTGCCTGCTTCAGCTCACTCTTGAACAGTCTGTTTGGTACAGGCATTTTAACCAAAATGTTTATTTTTACTGTATTGGTTTTAGTGAACCAGGGCTAATCCATGATCCTCCTTAATTACAGCAATCTCCTCTCAGGCTTCACTGACACATTTTCTCCTCATCTTCCATGATCAGATGAAATTTAAACTGACATAACCAAACTTTCTTCCAGCCAACATGACCATGTTAACAGTTTCTCCTATCCTTTTCCTACCTTTCCTTGAAAATCCATAATCAACTTACATATCTCATTACATCCTTCTGAATTTCTCCTTTTCCCTTCTGATCCTGAGCTGCAGGGTAAACTCCCACTCCCTGGGAGCATGGGAGAGGTAAAGCTCAGACGTGTCCCATTACCCCAAATGTTTACTGCACAGGCCTTTTCCTTTTGCACTGCCCCTCTGTGCCTCAGCTTCTTCACTGTTCCACATATTCTTGTCTGAGTTCCTTTAAAAATATTATTAGCAATGATTTAATTAAAACTAGTAATTTATGATTCCTGAGTTTAAGAACAGGTCCAGACTCAGGATGTCTGGGATTCCCATATTTCTGCTGTTGGGCTGCAGTGCTCAGAAGTACAGGAGATGTTTGTTCTACAAGTCTCTTCCCCAGTGAAATACCAGTGGGCTTTATGTATTTCCAAGACAAGTGCTGATGAGGGGACAATTTCTATGCATATCGCAAGTGCAAAGAGTTTCTTCATATTACTTTCTTATTCTCTGAAAGAACTTTTGCTCTGCAAAAAAAAGCTGAGAGGCCTTCAAATATCAGAGAACAGCAGCCATCAGAAGCAGGTTTACTCTTCATTTGCCTTTATTTCCATTCAAATCTGTGAGCTCAGTTAAAGCTTTGCAAATACAGCCATTTTCCTGCTGTGAGCTGTCTGCCCAAGTCACTGTGTGCTCTCGTGCTCCATCTGAACTGGAACTGGTGTGGGGATGGTGTACCTATAAGCTCCTGGTACACAGGCAATGGTTGAGGGCAGTATGTTCTGGGTTTAAAATTAGAGATGATTATGAAGAGTAGAAGTTACAATTTTTTTAAAATGCAGATTTAAAGCCCTGCCTGGGATAAAAATTGTATTTTGATTGTTGGAAAAGTTTAATGAGTTCTAATAACTTCTGTTTAAAACCAAATGTGTAACCTCCAAATCAGACTGGCTTACAACTCTCTCCAGTTGTTAAATGCTCTCAAGATGAGAATTATAGATAGCACACAAAACATTTGAAGTTCTGGCCAACAAGAAATGTATCCTAAGTGGCTGGTTTCCACTTTGTTCAAACTACGACCCATTAAAATGCAGACAGATTTAAGATAGGATTCAGGTCTGTGTTCAGGCAGTTCTGTAGAGTAACCCAAATAAATATCCAACAAATTGGTTTGGATGCCTGTGTAAACAAAAGGTCTATAAACAACTGCAATAAACCCCAGCAAAAGAGTCTGCATTTTGCTTGGCAGAATGTTTTCTTTATGCACTTAGATTAACAAACCATGATCTCATCATTAGTCAACAAGATACTAGAGAGATCATCAAAGCAAACTACGGGAGAGTTGAGATTGATTCATGCCAAACAAATGTTTGTAGCTAACAGCTGTATTACCACTGATTCTAATTTACTCAGCAGGATTCTCCTTTCATTTCCAAAGTGAGATGAATGTCCCAAAGCATGATGTAGACAGAATGTCTTCCTACTGCACAGGCAGTGAGTTGTGTGAGCTTTCCTGGATCACACAATCTCTTACTGATTTTAGGTTTCATGAAGAATTGCAACCTGGCATTTTCTACTTTAGCAATAAGAATCCTAAAGGTGATTGACATATTCTGCAAAGTCTGTGAGCTTATGGTGCCACACACGTGCCCTATGTAAGGATTTAGGGAGGCTACATTAGCATTCATTCCTGCTCCTGTGGAATCTTTTGGATCCCATCTAGGACAGCTTGTGCCTCCTGAATGAGAAGAAGTTGTTTTCCTTTTCCTTCCTTTGTGTCTTTGGTAGCATTTAGGAAGCTGTCCCTGGGTAACTGTTGTGCCTCTGCCTACAAAAGATGCACTTCAAAAGGAATCACTTCTTAAACCCAATACAAATAAGATGGTGTATCAGTCCTATCAACTTTAGCAGGAGTTTAGCCACAGACTTCCATGGGGCCAAGATTTAACCTATGGAACAAATGAGCCATTTATAGCTTAGGAGTGTCTCCAGGAATTTGTGTTTGGGATTGCCTTTTCACTTGTGCTGCACTATTCAGCATGCTCTTTTCAGGGCTGCTCCTAACACAGTCAAAAAAAGCTGCTCTTCTTTGTGCCAGTATATAATATTTGCTTGTCCTTATGGGACGCACAACCTGAACATGCCAGGTGGCTCTAAAATGTTTGTTGGAAAGATTTTGCATACAATCTGGAATTCATAAAAAATAAGGCAGAGCGAGTGAGCAGTAGCATGGGTTTGAGGGTTTTGCCAAAACAATGACATCCAGTGTCTCAATAGCTGGAGAGAGAGAACTGTACTTCAGAAAACACTGTAAATTTCTGCCTAGCCACACCATCTCCCCAAAAGTTAATCAATCTCTTGTAACTTAAACCACTTACTGTTCTTCAGATATTCTCTCAATATCCCAAGAAAGGTATAGAGGGTATTAGTTAAAATGCCTAACTAACTGATGATGTATATCTCCTCTGTCAAATACTGCACTGTTCATGGAATCTTGTAATCCATACATGTCCCTGTGCAGCTCTTCCCTTCACTGTCTTGTCTGTGACAGTGTCAAGAAAATTACCTGCTGTTCAGCTAGACTGAAGTTCCCCTATATCCAGGTGCTCCCTGATGATTTACTGTTTATCTGTGAGAAAAGGAAATTCAGAACAAAGGAAAACTCAGGCATTCTGAATGACAGAGCTGAAGAGGAAGTACCACAAACCTTGGAGGTTTGCTTTTAACTCATGAGACTTTGAGTGCTCTAACAGTAACAGGCAAACCCACCTGTACCCTTCAGAAATACAGAGTTCTGTCTGAAAACTGAAAATTAAGAGAACAAGAAAGGCAACAAATGTTTTTTAATTTCTGCACTAGGCTGAAAATGCAACTGCTTAAGCCTCCTCTTGAAAGACACATTAAACTTCTATATAGAGAAAGCATAAATAAACAACAATCAAATGTTTTAGATCATGATGCATTCTCACTGCCCAGTGTCACACCATTGACAGTCCAGGAACAGACCCTTCCAGGACGATCATTCAAATAGCTTTGTTGCACAGGAGTGCCTCAAACTACTTTTTAAATCTTTGTTGTTGTTGGTCTGCATAACAAATTGTTTTCTTTGAGATGGACCAAATTACATCTGCCTCACCCTCCGTGCAGCTTACGAGGTTATGGTACTTCACAAGCTATCCGGGGATACTCCTGATATCAATCTTGAAGCCTATTCAAAACAAGGATGGGGAGTCAGGCCTTTCTCTGCCAACATTCCTGCTGAATAATCACACAGCTCCATTATCTGTGGGGGAGTCCTCTCTTCCAGCGTTGCCTCTCCGGGCTGTGCTGCCTGTTGGGAGCTCAGGGATAGAGCTGAGAGACACCGCGGGAAGCGTGTCCTGAAAGGCCGTGCAGATTGCAACACTATCACTTATCCCTTTCATGCTGTCTTTCTCCATAAAGAGAGGCTCAGTCACAAAAGGCCGCCTTTGTCACTAAATAACCACGGTGCTGGTGCCTTCCCGAAGACTTTTCTCAACTTGTAAGTGCACAGGGCACAACGGGAGCACAGTGAACAAAAATGCTGAGCAGCATGAGCCCCACCATCCTGATGCCTACACTGATCTCTAACAGGAAAGACACAGTGAAACCTTCTATTAAGTTTTCACTTGGAAACTTGACAACAACTTCCCCTGTATTAAAAATACCTCGGACTACATTTTTCCAAATTTACACCACTGTCTTAAAGCCCTTTGGACTTGAATATTTGCCACATACACTGTACTTGGAGTTGCATACTTGTCAATCACTCGTTTGCGTGGAACCCTTTCAAAATCTTTACTTACATGTACAAGACTGTTTTGATATTAAAGTAGAATGGAAGGCAGAGAGATGAGGGCTGGACACATTGCTCTGGCTTTCTTGGTCTGTCCTGCTCTTTGTGAATTTTTGAGGGGAAATAGCTGGTTTCTGCTCTTTGAGAGAGGGAGGTTTAAGGCAGTGAGGGTGTGAATGGCATTGGCTGGCACGGGCTATAAACACAGAACTCTGGTTTCCAGTGAACATTTTCAGCACAGTTTGAGAGGCTGGAATTTCCAGATGACGTGCTCGATGTATGTGGTGGGGGTGGAAGGCAGAAAGGATCCTTTTTTTTCAGGTTCACTTCTGGCTGTCAGTCAAACATAGCAATAAAATCAGCTCCAATTAAGGGGATATGCAAGGAATTTCATGATAATGTCAACACTCCATTCCATCAATACAGGGGTAAAGAAAAAAAGCTTTTTCTTTTTTTTTTTTAAACAAGAAAAAACCTCAGTCACACTCAACTGTGGTATCACCAGATAAACAGTTAATCACAAAGGTACATGAAGTGGTTCACAATTCCTTCATTATCCTGTGGAGTTTTTCTTTTGTTTTTTTTTTCTTTGGGGGCCCTGGTTTCTGTTTCATTTGCTTTCTGATTACTCCAGTGCTGACTTAACTTTCTCTAGCAGACTGCCTTTAATTCTCTAAGAGGTTCAGCTTCTCATCCATTAACCCCTTGCTGCAGGGAATCTCGCTCACATAACCTTAGAAATAGAAAACAGACAGAGAGACCAGAGTACTACATGGGGAAAAAAGCCCAGCTCTGGGCTCACTCCCATTTCACTTCATCTCTTTCTGTGTGACATTAAAACATATCCCAGTTAAAATAAAGCACTCACCAAGGTTCTTAAGCTTCTCAATATTCTGTAGGTACTTTTAATCCTGTGTTTTACCAAGTAGGAGACTAAATCTATCCATGATTACTTCCTTAGCTGCAAAATGGTCACAGTTACACTGCAACTGTACAAAAGCTGATCTATTTTGGATTTGTTGATCCAGGGAGAGGAATTTCCTGGGAGCACAGCTGCCCCTCCAACTGTACTGATGTGGAAGCACATCAAATCTGTAGCTGTCAGATTGCTACTCCATTTAATCTACTCTCATGTTCATTGGTGAATCTGCAATTTGTGGCTGCTGCAGCTGACCCCACAATCTACAAAGACATTTTAGAGGTGATTTTGATCTCCTCAACCCATATCAAGATTATCTGTGGGGCAGCTGTGGGTCAGGACTGGGATGGTGCTTTTGTAACTTCTTGCCTACTTGGTATTCTGCTCTGTGCTGTTAATCCTGCAGAGGAGGAGGATGACTTCATCAGTATTTGATGCATTAAGCCTTGTGAACATGTCAGTGGTTTGGATGGAAGTAATTGTAGTTACATCCATTTCAAATTTCTAATTCAGCCCTCCTAAAATTCCCGAAAAGAAAGCCCCAATCCGTTTTAGCATAGCTGCAGAGGGGTGAATGCTACACAAACTTAGTGCTGTGCCTTATCCCCTCTCTATTTCCAGGGGGAAAAAAAAATAATAAAAAAAGGGAAGCTGTCCACTACTGATGAGAATATGTTTGGAACAAAGAACCTGCTGGATTATTTAAAGCTCTGCTCTACTGATAGCCAACCCTGGCTGTTAAAATGAACTGTATGACTACATTCCCTGTAAAATGTGTCTCCATTTCCTTTCAGGTTGGGAAGCTGATCCAAGAAGCAGCTGGAAGGAGTAATTTGAAGAGAGTTACACTGGAGCTGGGTGGGAAAAGCCCAAACATTATTTTCGCAGATGCTGATTGTAAGTCAGCACTTCCATATTTTTGCTAAAAACATATCTGCATGATGTCTTTTTCCTTTTTTTTTTTTTTTATAAACTAATTTTAGGGCACATCTTTCATGTAAAGTGAAGTGAAGCAATACAGCTGTATCTAATGATACTTTTCAATCTTACAGAAGCAAACTAAGGTGTACTTTTAGAAAATACAACTTTTGAACCCACAAATTCATAGTCAACAAGAGAGCAGAAAAAACATTATAACCAAGCATATAGACATGGTGTTTTTCACAGTTAGTCCCACACACATTTGCCATCCTATGCTCTGCAGCAAGGTGATTTAGTGCTTTAAAACTGGAAATTCTGTGATTTTTTTGGTTCAAAGCAATTATAAAAAGGGAGGACTTTTATGTACACTTGACTTGCTAATCTAGTCAGTGCACTCTTCCTTTGTTAAGTAGCTGTGTTCCATTTTTAAAATTTTCACAACTGAAGAATTGTGTATTGAAATATCCTCACTACCACTGTCAGCAGGGAGCTGAAAATTTTGGCAGATGTATGATGTTGTGCAGCTGAGATTTCTGGCACCTGAGAAGGCACAGGACAGCTGTTTAGGATAGGATGTAAACACAAACTAAAAGTTTCTGCTTAAATGATCAGCAACGAAATAGTTACAATGCTGATATCTAAATTGTCAGCAGGAGGTTTTGAGGTTAACACCCCGTTAAGATGAATGAGATGGTTCACACCTCGCTCTGAGCTCTTGTTTCAGGCTGGGTGCAGGCACCCTGTACTCAATGCCCTTTCTGAGAACTTTGCAACCCAGATAAATAGATACATAAGGATTTGGTCTTCTCATTTAAAAGGGGTAAGTGAACAGAATAATTTTGAATAGCATGAATTACAAGAGATGGTTACAATCCTGTACCCATTTTCAAAATTTATTAATACCTGAAAAACTAGGGAAAGCTTGACAACTTCCAGCAGCTTTTCTACGTAGAAATGCTTTACCAAGTTGAGGATTGAAATTTCAGCCACAGACATTCTGGTAAGCTAAAAAAGCTCTTGTCAGCTGGAGCCAGACACAGCTATTCCAGCCTTCTACCCAGTTACTCATCTCCACCTCCCACCAGATATCACCATACCTCAAATGTCCCTCACCTGCTAACTCAGACTTGAACACCTAAACATTTCTAGTAGAGTGACTTGTGCCAGGTCTGTGTTATGACCTTCCACGGGGGAAGGACAACTGCTCTCTGGTCTTCCCACAATTACAACCTCCAGCACTTGGCCTAAGCTTTAAACTTCAAAGCTCTGATTATTTAAAAACAGCAATTGGCTCACCGTTCCAAAGGAGTTGTTTGTTCTGCTTGAGGAACACTGTGTGCCAGAATTTAGCAGAAAGCATGATAAACCTGTTGAAGGTTTGGTGCACCAAAAAACCAGAGGAGAATGGTTAGAGCCCCTCATGGTGAAAAACTGTTAATAATAGAGGAAGAAACATTACTTAATCACAGCTATCCACCAGTGCTTTCAATCTCCATGGAGCTGCCAGGGAAAATTTGAATGGGGTCCAGGGAACAGCCCATGTAATTTTTCTAAAGACCACACTGAGGGCATAAAAAGACATTTCTGTTAGGCAGAGTTGTCTAGAATGTGCTGAAAGTAAAGCACTGTTGCTTTGTTTAGCCCATGAAAGATTATACTTAAAGCAATGTTCCCAAGTGCTACAACTGGTAACAGAAGTATTACAGTGCTGTAGGGCATCACTGTTTAGGGATAAATTCATTATTCTAGTCTAGTCAGTTACTACACCCAAAGTAAGAATGTGGCCTTGAATATCTAAATATGATTGGATCCTCTCTCCTGCTTGGACAGAATGTGTTAGTTGTACCTCCAAGGAAGTTAGAGTAGAAATTGAGGGTTGATTGTTCTATAACAGACCTATAATTTTAATGCCTTACCCAGTCACCTGCATGGGCCAAGAGGAAATTTCTATGTTGCAGAAAAGGAATCTGGCTTTTTGGGAAGGACGGGTCTTGCCATTATCAAAGTCAAATTTTCCCATGTATTTGGTTTGCTGTAATTCTCACATATGAAGTATTAAACCCAGTGCCAACTTAGGATCACAGACAAATTTTCCTCTCCAAATTTTCCTACAGTGACCCAGTCAGATGTATTTATGTGGGGAACATCCCACTTCTGATGTTCCCTTAAGGGTTTTACTTGGTAAATGACATGTTGCTGGATATAAGACAGTGGTGAAGTTGTTCTTGCATACCTTACTCCTATTGACTGATAAATCACTGTCTTAACTTTCCCAGTGGGAATCATCCTCATTTCTGACCTGACTCAGCTATGGGATGTCTTGATTTAATTTTATTTGACCAAATCCTAGTACTGAAGTTTGGGGAATGTGACACTGTGTAATACACACAGCATTGATGCAAAGGCAGATTAGCCCACGGTGTTGCAGTGCAACATGTGCTGTCTTGCTTTTCAGTGGACTATGCTGTGGAACAAGCTCACCAAGGAGTCTTCTTCAATCAAGGACAGTGCTGCACTGCAGGCTCACGGATTTACGTGGAAGAATCAATCTATGAAGAGTTTGTCAGAAGGAGCGTAGAACGTGCAAAGAGGAGAGTTGTGGGGAGTCCTTTTGACCCAACTACAGAACAAGGTCCACAGGTAAAGGAGCAGGGCTTTGGCTCTACAGCCCAGGAGGTGCTGGAAGTATTTAAACTCCACTAAGGCAGAGGTCAGTCAGTGCACACTCATTCAAGGTCCAGGGTAGCTGATACTACCAATATAGTATATATACACATATACACACACATATATATATACATATACATATGCACAATACATGCTTTCAAGATTAAAGTTCTAAAAGAGTAGATAAGCTGTGCAGCTCTGAGGCATTTCTTGTTAAATGAAAAAAAAATATCAATTTAAATATCGATGTTTGCCTCCCAGTTTTAAGAGCAAGATTTGGATCTTCAGCCCCCAAAATAGAGCTGTAAATTGTGAGAAGCTCTTAAAAGCCTCTATGAGCACTTCACCATCAAGAACTGTCTTCAACCATAACTATGCTTGGAGATCCAAGAATTCTAAGCAGAAGACAGGCATAATCAGAAATAAGTCTTTAGAAAATGTTCCTGTCACTAATAACCAGCTGGGCTTATAACATTTTCAGGAAGTTAATCTGGTACAAAAACTAATGATCTGCTTTTTTTGTGCTTGTAAACTAGATTGTTTAGCAAGAGTGTGGGCTAAACCACAAACATAAGGTGACACATCTTAAGAAGTCTGAGCCCAAAGTTACAAGCAGCACCTGCTTGTAGATCTTCGGCATCTGTAGCTCAAAGAGCAGTGATGGAAGCAGGAACTGACTCACTGGAACATGACTTGTCTAAAAACACCTATTTGGACTCAGTTGTCAAGTACATGGTCTGCGCACCAAACAGCTTTTTCTCTCTTTCAGATTGATAAAAAACAATACAACAAGATCTTGGAACTGATTCAAAGTGGCATCACTGAAGGAGCAAAACTTGAATGTGGGGGAAAGGGGCTGGGAAGAAAGGGATTCTTCATTGAACCTACGGTGTTTTCCAATGTAACAGATGACATGCGGATTGCCAAGGAGGAGGTAGTCATGTGTGGGAAAAATCCTTTTAAAATGTCCTAAATATTACTTTTTTTGTTTGTTTGTTTAATTCCTAAGACAAAAGCTTCAGAGTGAAAATTATGACCATATTAAAAAAAAATAAAATTCAGAACTCCTTATGCACACAGCAAGTTACATCAGCTGGGTAAGGAAGCTCAATTTTTGTCACTGACTGTAAGGTGTCAGATATCAAAGGGGAGATATGGGTAGAATGAACAAAGTCCCCTGAGGCATCTGCTTTGGGAAATTCATGCAGTTTTACAGACAGATATTATCACTAGTTATCACTAAATTTTGCTGTGGGAGATTTAAAACATTATAACAGGAGAGAGAAGATAATTAAGAAAGCAGAACAAAATAAGAATAAAATGCCTATGAGGGGGATAGTTTATTAATTATTATTCTTTGTTGCAGATTTTTGGGCCCGTTCAAGAAATACTGAGATTTAAAACCATGGATGAAGTTATAGAGAGAGCAAACAATTCTGATTTTGGGCTGGTAGCTGCTGTCTTTACAAATGACATAAACAAGGCCCTGACAGTCTCTTCAGCAATGCAGGCTGGGACGGTCTGGTAAGTAGAAGTTACCCCACTCCCACTCTTGAAGATGAAGAGTTTGACTCACTATCATCATTCCACTTCAGTTTTGCACCCTTTGTTAAGAATATTTATGCAGCCCATGCTAGTGGTGGATCACTGGCCAAGCCATGGAACAGCAGTGGGGAGGAGCTGCTCACTGCTGGAGCTGGAAAGCACCTTGCTTCCCTAGAGCACTGCAGCCACTGAGCGGCTTTACTGAAAACAAACAGGATAAACCATCCTTTCTGGGGAGCACAGGAATCCAGGGAGCTTTCACTAAAGGCACAGAGCATTGTGCACTTTCTACAACATTAAGGAACTGTTGGAACCTCCTCTCCAGTCTTTAGGGATAGGGAATGCCAGCTCTAGAGTTTAGTAGCTTGCAATTTAGTATGTCAAATCTGACTAAACTGAATAGCTGCATGAAATTAGGGAGAAAAAGGGCAAACTCAAATCTAACAGCTCTATGTTATAAACTGGCACTGAGGTTTGGCAGCAGATTAACAGCTCATTACTGAAGATGTGTCCAAGGGTATGGTGGTCTCCTCTGGCCCCCACAGGTCAAATCCAATTCTCCTTAGGAGTAAGAAGCAGACTGTTGTTTTTGTAGCATAAATCCCTCATTTCTTTTCAACATGAAACAAGTCTGTTATTACTAAGGGGTATAGAGTGTCCTTAGCTCCACAAGTTTCAGTCTCTCTCTGAGTTATCCAAAGGTCTCTCTGGCAGTGCAGCTGGATTTAATGCCTCTTCCTGTTACAGGATAAATTGCTACAATGCCTTAAATGCCCAAAGTCCTTTTGGAGGATTCAAAATGTCTGGCAATGGGAGAGAGATGTAAGTATTATACTGCTGTTTTCTAAATTCTCCTCAACTCTACAACTTAATAAACATTAGTGAATGCTTCCATGCAAATTAAGATCCAGAAATATTCCAACCTGAGAATCAGGGCATAATATAAAGTGACATAAGGTGACATTTAATCATCATTGCCAGTTCTAAATGCAATTCATTTGCATGGTAAGACCACGTTTTTGGGTTTTTTGTTTCTTTTTTTAACATTGCAAATTAAGTTATTAGAATTTTCTTCTTCTGAAAGGAACTCAAAATTTCTGAGTATTTTTCTGAACTTGTAATCTGTGTTTTCTTGAAGGTTTTTTTAGCCATATTAAGCATGACTTTTCAGAAAGACTCTCTTTGGTGCTGCTGAGTGCTTGTTGGCTGGTTTGGTGTACTAGTTGCAGAGTTGTTTTGCCATGTATTGTGCCTCTCTTTGTAGTTTTTCTTTTCCTTTCTTCAGTTTTCACTGTATTTATTAATACAGATACATTTGAATTTTACAAAAAATTTATCAGCTTGCAGATTTTTAAACAATGAAAGCAGGCAAAGAGAAGGAAACAAATGTGTTAACATCCCTTTGAAAAAACCACTTGCCATTATAAAGCTTTCTGTCTTTCTTATTCCATTTAGCTCTAAGTGTCAAATATTTTGAAATGGAGCTCCACACTTAAATATTGTCCCATGTACCAAATTTAAAGTCTTACCAGTTTCTCATTCTCATTACAATCACAAGGAAGTTTGGCAATTGCATCAGCCCCAGATTGGTTACATACCAAGGATTCAATTAATTTCTGTGCAGGAGGTATGTGTACCAGATATGTCTCACCTAAGTTTTCAAAATAGCTTATGGCTAATGGTAAACTCAGCAGTAAAAATAAAGTAAGGTCAAACTCTTTAAAACTTTAAATATGTTGAAGTATACAGCTTGATCTATAAAATAAGCTCTGTGTAGACTGAAGTATTTTCCCTTGTTAGGGAGTATTTGAATAACACATTCATGCTATTCACATTCATGAGTTATGAGGTGATCTCACACTGGCATAAATATGTCAGGTCATCTAACTCTTATCATTGTGAAAATATTCTGAAACTACTAAGCTCGATAGAGCACATGAGTAACTTGACACCCAGGGGTGACCCCACTGACTCCAGGGAGGTTCAACTGTGCAAGCAAAATGTTCACGTATCAATGTTGCAGAGTTCTTAAAAGGGGGGAAACCCAGGCAGCACCCCAGCTCTCATGGAAAAATCTGTGGTAATTGCACACTTGATTCCCACTACAGCTTTGAAAGTATTCATCATAAACAATAAATGTTTGGAATGGCAATAATGTACATCTCACAAAGATGCCTGAAAAACCTACCTATGAGTAATTATTCTACTCCTTCAGAACCTCTTTGATCAGATACCACCTTCTAATTCACCTCCTCCATCCTGCATTAATACCTGCATACTTTTTATTAAAATGCCACTTTCCTAGATTCTTGTTTTTAAGGGATAAATAATGTTGAGTTGGGCAGTTAAAAAAAATAAAAGCTGTTTATACATTAGTGTGTCATTACTAAGGTGACACTATGTTACAGACAGACCATAACTGGGCCACTGTGCTTCCTCTGCCAACACTGCATTATCTGGGACTTGTTTTCGTCCTGCATTTAAATTCACAGGTTTTCATCACACATGGGCAAAAATCAACCCAAAGCTCAGAACTGCTATACTCATTTTACACTCCCGCAAAATGTAGCAGAGTATGTGCATCCCAGTAGAGAACCAGAACTCATGTACACAATACAGGTGATTTCTGATTGCATTAAGATTATTTAAAATATTCTTCTATCCTTGAAGATGTCTAGAAGTCATGGTTTTATTTTGGTTTTTTTGCATTCATGTTTTTTTAAAGCTTCTTATCACTATGTGGGAGATGTAAAATTTAACTCATGTAACTAAAAATTTGGTGGTTCACCCCAGATAGCCACACGTGGCCATTTTATATTAGAGCTCCCCAAAATTCTGGCCTCTGTCCAAATGTCTTCAAGGGAAGGAAGTTCCATTCTACTTCAGAACTCTCCTTTAATGTCCTAGGAATTGTTACTATCTGGATAGCTCTGAGATACAGCAATGCACACCTGTATTCCAAAAAACAAGTGCAAGCAGGAGAATGGCTTGGAGCTGTAATTCCCATATCTTTTTGTCCCCCTGGACTGAGGGAGGGAAGAGAATATATAATATTTCTTCTTAAAAAGCATTTTGTTCCCCTTCCCTCATACCTACACAACCAATCACCATGCAGATCTGACACATGGACTCCTTCCTTTTCACAGACACAACCTTTATTCTCACTCTGATACCAAAGTGCAGTCCCAGAAGACCCAGAGTGGCCATAGAATAGAATAGTTTTGTATAAGTCTGTGGGGACAATCAAGCCCTTGAACTGAACACACACTGACTCTTCTGCTCTGAATATTTGGCATAACCCATCTTCCTATTTAGCAAGTGCAGCTTTTTAACTTTTGAAAAAAATATTTGCCTTAGAATTCATCACAATTGTCCTTTTCCAAACTATTGACCAGAAAACAAATGTGTAAGGCCCTGAAGCCGTGAGTTGAAGAAACAGACAATAAATGTCTCTAATTTTGTTTGGCAGTCCAAGATTAAACATCAAGTGGCATTTGGAATGTACATAAAATCACTCGTTGCTGTCAGCTGGGTTGTCTCTTTGGGTCACAAAAATGTGTCTAATGGGTGTCTGGAGCTACAAAGCAGCCCTGCTGAATCCAGAAACTTCCACACAGACACATTCTAGCATTAGTTATTGGGCTTCAGGCAGCTCCTGGTGACAGCTTCCACTGAGCCCTAAGGGAAGACTTCTGATAAAGAGCTAAAGTTTTTGGTCATTCTTTGGAGACAAATCCACCACTTTCTACTGCAAGCTGGGGGTGGTGTGGTCCAGATCAATGGGAACCTTTCACATGCACAAAAGTCTTAGACTCTGGTAAATCTGGTAAAACTGCCTATAGAATAATCAGTCTGCTGTATCCCTTAAATACTGACCACTGTATCACATATAAGGCTTACCAAACCAACAGGCACATCTGCATTCAAAACTGCAGATTAAGTGACATGGGCTGGTAAATACTGATATTTCTGCTCAATTGAACTTTCCAAGGAAGATTACAGGAGTTTCACCCCAATGTTATATTTTGTGTAAAATCTGCAGTGTAGAGGTAAATACAAAATGGGTTATGCAGCAGTGGGGGCCTACAGAAGGGTTTAATTACCTTAAACAGTGGCCTCTCACTCCATTCTGAAACCCTCATTAGAAGGTGGTTCTGAGGAATTCTTCTGAAATACTCTTTATGGTTCAGTTGGCATTTAGTTCTGCACAGGAGAATCCAGAGAGGAGACAGTGTCAAATAAACATTCTAATATCATATATATGCCATCATGTTCTACATTTTAATATAAGTAATAGTGCAATACTGTGTGCATCTAAGCGGTGGGGATAAAAATTCAACCAATAAACAAATGTCTGTAAGACCTCCTGCAAAAAATCCTCATTGAGTTAATAAGGAAAAGGTATTCTACTTCCAGACTTGGATTGTACCTGTTTTGAGGTGGGGACAGTGTTTGCTTTACATACACAGCATCTGGAAGACATAACTTTACTAATGACATGAAGAGACTTCTCCATTACTCAAAATAGGCACAGGAAAATGGAAATAGCTGTCCTTCATAGAAGACCAGTGCAAGTCCCACGAAGCCATGCAACATCCACTCTAAACCTCTGCAGAGGGGCCAAAGAGATGAGCCAGGCTGAAGCTGACTAAAACAAAACGTTAACAGCATTCAGAAACACCTACTTTTTAAACATAATCTATGCAAAGCAGAATGTGTCCCCCTCAGAGCCATGTGTCAGATGACTGGGACCTAGTGGGTGCCTGGTCTCTAGCAGTATGGAGGTCCAGGGCCAGGATAAAATGAGGAATTCTACAGGGAATCGAAGAAGGGAATCTGAGCAAGCTGAACCCTCTTCCACATTATGTGCAAATGGTGATTTCTAGGGAGTTTTGCTAGGGAGAAAAGATCAGCATGTTAGAAGTGAAGTTCATCTTTACCCACAGTTGTGAGTAGTTCATTTTTCATTGTGCTTAGTGTGGATCTTCCCTTTCTCGAGCGCAGTATAAACAGTAATTTCACTAGCCAGTGGGGTAGGTCTTGGTGTTTGGACATTTTTAAGGTCTAGAAAAGACAGAGGATATCAATTCACTCCCAAAAGCTCCAACAACAGACAGTGAGTATTTCTGTGTTTAATGTTCTCTGTGTCCTTATCAAATTCTGAAGCCATCCATTGTTCTTTTGACCTAAACTGAACTGCAATTTTGGGTTATATCTTAACTTTATCAAGAAATCTCTTTGCAGATTTTTGCTTGATAAACAATACCTGGTATAAGCTGATGATGCAATTTCTTCTTTAGGGGTGAATGTGGATTGAGAGAATATTCTGAAGTTAAAACTGTGACAATAAAGATCCCTCAGAAGAACTCCTAAAACGACAAAGGACCGTGTTGTGCAGAAGAGCACATGATGCCACCTTCTCTATTCCTTATGGAGACCAGCACTCAGGAATAAAAAGTGTTACACAATATTTAAGAAATTAAGTTGCAACATATATACTGGGCACATAACTGCGTACGTAATGCAAACCAACTCTGCATGTTTTCATGAAACTCTCCTGAGAATCGTTACATCTTTTTAAAACAAATTATAATGAGATAAAATTGCTACTGGGCATCATTTAATAACGGTTCCAGCTATAAAACTGTTAAATGCAAATGCATGCACACACACATTTATCTCTTCCTTAAATAAACAAAGTAAGTCTTACTGCTTTCAGGCTGCCTTCTCAAACAGACCTGCCTTGTACTGACATTGTAGTTTCAATCAAGGCTCTACAAGCCAGATTTCACCCAAAACACTAGCAGTGAACAACACAAACAAGTGTCATTGATGTTCTTAAAAAATAAAAGATTCTGAATGGTAATGGCCCCAAACCTGGCATAGTGGCAACTTTCCAATTAGCACGCCCACAGAAAGAGGTCAGACTGGGGAGGGAATCAATCTGCTGCATGGCCAATGAAAGCCAAATATTTATCAGTGAGATTTGGCTTTCAAGGCTCACAACAATTCGGATTTCAAAGCTTATTTTCATTATTACTTTATGTCTTGCTATAAGCAAAAAGTCCTCCTTCATTTCCAGGAACTTGAAGGGATTTACCTGCCTGCCAAAAGAGCAAGGCCAGACAGGGTGGGTGGGTGTTAACAAGAACAGGAACAGATTCCAAGGCTTCACAGAATACTTTAGCTTTCACTGCTTGTCTAGTTTTGTTGTTGTTGATGTTGTTGTTACTGTTGTTGCTTTCACCTTGTTGGTTTTTTTAAAACAAATATATGCACGCACAGGCTCCATTTACTTGTCTGCTATTAAAGTGTCTGTGATTACACTGGGAATCATTAAGAACTTGTTACAGCTTTTACTAAATGATGTCTTGCCATCCTCACCATGCTTGCGCACCCCAGGTGATGTTAGTGGCTGGTACTGAGCTTTCAATTATTTGGTTTCTTTTGGTCCAGGACAAAAATATGAGCAAGCTCTTTCAGAAGTGAGGTGTTTAAAGCCTGTCACATTATTACCTGCTGCCTACAGAGACTCTTCAAATCTATTACTGACAAACTAAACACTATCTCTTTCTTTTTTCAGCTGCAGAGCTTATCAATTCCCCAGTTTTTTTTTTTAAGAGGTTTCATTTTATGTTTTAACTTAGAATTAAGAAAATCTATTTTCGAAGTACAGTAAATCATCCACACAGTGTAGCTACATGATCTGGGGTGTAAGGACAGAATTACAGCCTCAGGTGTAAGTTTTCCTAGCTACAGAGTCTATGCTATGAACTGTTGAAAACTCCAGCCCTGATCAGAAACTTAATTTTGCGTGTTCCTAACTTCCTTTAGTCTCTGAGGAATTCCTCTTAGATTCGAAGTTGTATGTGTCCTTCAACATACTGCTGGCTCAGGACAAGAGTCTCCAGCACTTTGTAGTGTGGTGGCCCTCAATATTTTATAACTCATGTCAAACTGTGTATGTGTTTTTAAGCAATACATTACATACGTTATGGTTATTCAGAACTGATAGTACATTCACAGACATGGAGATAAATCAAAGTATTCCTGAGTTGTTAAATTCAAACGCCATATACTTCTACTGTAGTGTATGTCAGAGTGAAGAAAAACAAAATACAGCAAGTAAGAGATTAGTTATCTTTTAAACTGCAATATAAGATATGAAAAAGGAGATTTTACTTCTTTTCTCCTATTTACTTAAAAAAGAAACTTCCTGTGCTTACAGCATTTACACCATGTACTCTTTTGTATTCTTTTTGTGTATTTTGTATGTCTGTGCTTTATTCCCAGTACATTCAGGTAAATAATATAGAGTTGCCATTTTTTTCAACCCTGTCACTGCAGCTCCATTTGATGTACATGGATTTGTGAAATCCTTTTTTAGATGTACCATCTGCATGGATCCAACAAAACATTTTTCCAGTCCCTGCAGCTTTTTGTTACAGTTTTTAATCATGTATATAGTTATATGTTATTAAAAAAGTAAAAGGATATTTTCTATGAAGTTTTTTCCATTAAAAAGGTTTAGAGAAAGACTTTAGACTGTGAGACTCCTTTATTATTGACAGAGCTATAAAAATATTAAAAAAAATATTTTCTTAGCAAAAGATCTGCTCTCACAGTAGCTTTATTTTCATTTGCAAAAGTGAATGATGTAAAAGGCCAATTACATTTTCTGGAATATTATTGCAGCTGTATGAAAACACTTGTGAATTGCAGATCTAGGTCATAGTCAAAGTCCATCCTCACCCTTATGGTCATAAAGTTTAGCTATTGGGGCAGGTCTGAAGTCATCAAAACCAGTGGGGCACCCTTGCAAACTGCTGCATCACAGCTTGACTTTTGGATAATGTTTTAAAAAATCATGATGCCTTTTCTTTCTCTAGTAGACATTTCAGAGAGATTATTAAATTAACACTCAGACCTTTTATGGAGAGACAGTCTACTTTGATTTCAAAATGCTAAAATGGAACAAGGACGGACTGAATTCACATGGCCAGGTACTATACAACTCACCCTCAAGCAATGCCTTTATTCCAGGTTACTTTCATTGCCAGGGACTGTATTCCTTTTTGAAATGGTGCCTATTTAGGTAAAGTAAGTGCTCAGTTAATACAGCCAAGCTACTTCATTGTATGGCAAGCAGTGGTTGTACCTCAGTGTCACAGAACAATACTGTTGGTTCAATCAACACTTGAGAGGCAATCATGATGGAGTAACTTGACTAGAATAGATGGGATAAAAGAGAATAAGACTCAATAATAGGAAAGAAATTGCATTCTTCGAGAGGAGTACTGCTCCTTAAAGTCTGGAATATCAGGTGCATATTAAGCAGAGTATCATTTCTATTTAATTAGTGGCATGGACAGCTCTGTTGTGGGACTTTGGGTGGACAATTAGAACTTTCCATATTCCCCATCTCTCTGACCCACTTGCCACCTGTCTCAGCACTCCAAGCAGTCATCCAGGCACAAGCAATGAAGACCTTTTCTGAAAGCAAAACAAAGGAAGGTTGTTCTAGAACCACTGAAAACAAGACGTGTTTTCTAGTGAAACGAGCTAAGTTTAATCCATAGTAAATAAGCACTCTGTGGAGCTAGTGAAAGTGAATGTATCAATAAGAGTGTACAGGCATAGTAAAGGGAGAATTTGGAATAATTGTGCATTTCTTCTAGAAAAGGATGTTAAGAAAGACAGAAAGTTTCAGTTCTGTGATCTACAGACAAAGCAGTGGATACTGATACTACTTTGCTATCAATTTGCTATTTATTGGTGCCCTGTTACAGAGAATGCTCTTTCTTCCAACAGAGGCCAGGATGAAAAATCTTGCCTTGCATATGCAGTGGCACTGTGTGTCACAGTACCCTGTTATTTCTCAGTTCTGTCCTGGAAAAAGAGATCCATAATAACACTGAATTCAGGGCAGCAGCTGAGATAGAGAGGAAGTCAAAGACAAGCAATACACTGTACTTTTTACTTATGACTTTGCATGGTTACATGTAGAGCTCTGGAGAGCTACATTTACCACCTTACATTTGCATCCATACGTCTCCATTTACTGCATGCTAAGTCCATCAACACAGGAAGTTATTTTTCTCATAACAACTTCTTACCACAATGACTGATATTCACAGTGCTATATCTATCAGGAAGCAGGAAAAGCCTCTGTGGCTATTAGATGCCATCAGCATTCCCAACCCATTCAAACAGATTTCTCTAAGCCCATTAGACTACAGCTGCATAAAATGCATCTTCCTCCCTTGTCCTCATGAAACAAGCAGTCCATAATTCTTTCTGTATCTTCACCATATCTTCTGTGTCCACTGACAGTGCACAGGTATCAGGGACCTGTGTGTGGCTCACCCAGAAATCTCAGGAACTTCTGAAGCAAGTGCAGGACTTTCAGCTTAGCACACAGAGCATGAAGTCAGGCAATTTACAAGGATAGATCAGTCTAAAGTGAGAATAGTGGTATAATCTCACATCACTGAAGTGTGGCTAGAATATGCTACTACTAAGGCTTGAGGTCCCACTTCCCTCTTCCACCCAGCACAGTGTAGAGTGCTGGGATGCTGGTTTCAATATGCACTTTCCTAATTTTTCTCAGAGGACCAGAACTGACATGCTGGAACCCAAGGTTAACACAAGAAACAGATGATTACAGCTGGCTGCAGCACAAGTTCAGGCATTTCAGTGGAGCAGAGCAGGTTAAGTTTTCTGTGCAGCCACAGCTGCTGCACTGGGTAGTGCCCAGCACCAAGTGCCTGCTTATCTGTGCCTTAGTCCTAGAGGCTGCACGTACACACAGGACTGACAATCTGTCCTATACACAGTAAGGAGAGTCACAAGGCTGATTTGCCTCTTCATACAACTGGGGTAGGTCACCTCAGCTGCTGCATAATGTCCCTACCTAAGTCCCTTAGCTTACTGTTAGAGAGGGAGAAAAAGCACATCTGCATGTCCTGGTGCCTAATGGTTGATTCTGAAACAGCTGAGTTTCTGAAACATCCTGAGCCCTCACTAAAAGCCCACTAGCACAGGTATTCTAGAGCTTAGTTGCATCATAAAGACCACAACTATTTTTTTCTGATATAAATTTAAATCTACTCAAGCCTGTATTGAAGAGAGACTGCACCTACAATCCATGGCTTCTTTATGGGGAGCATTTACACTGTTACTTTTCATGGGTTATTAGGATGAGTTTTATCAAATAACAGAGGCTGGCTTGTACTGTGCACAGCACATGTATTTTTGAGTGTGCTTGCAGTGCCAGAAAGCATGCCAGGGAACACTTTTTTCACCTGATTTCATGTGAAATTTATAAACACATTATGGAATGCCTTTGTCTCCATCATCTGTAATACCCTGGAATCGCCAATACCACGAAGGCTGGGACAATCTGCCTTAAGGATCAACTGAATCTACATTACTGATATGTTCCTCAGTGCATTATTGTAACCACTCCTTGTAATGTCATTTAATCCTGGTACCTAACATCAAATCCTGCAATTCCAAGATGCTTTCAAGGTGTTTTTAACTGCCTGGAGTCTCTTGATGAGACACACTACATAAACCTGGATTGTGCAACCACCAAAGCAACAGACCGTAAGAAAAGCTCCAGCTGCAGGGGTTGCCAAAGAGGCTGTGACCACAGCAGGCTGGAGTAACCCAAAAGGGTGCTTGTGAAATGTTTGTGCTGCTGGCAGGCAGCACATTGCCAGGACAGATCACACATCATGCATTTGCACATCAAATGAAGCTGCACTGGTCTGAGAGCATGGGAAAGGCCTGTCTTGAACGGCATGTGTCCTACTTCCTAAACATGTATATTTTACACTTTACACTTGGTTATTGGCCAGATTGAAAGTACCACAAGTTCCCCAAAGCTTGTCGTTTTGCCTTTGAAGTAGAACTGTTTGGATAATGTTTCCTTTGGCAATTTATCTATGTAACAAAGCAGGAACTTAACTGCACTGGCCTCTCAACAATCCTCCACTAGCTTTTGTCGAAGTCGTTATACCCTTGTGTACATGCACTCTCACAGAATTCCATCATTTTTTGTGACCATTATTAGCCCCTCTCCTTCTCCCTTATAGTTCTGCATGGTGAGGCTGGAGCTCATATTAACTCCTAAATTCTGGGGGTTTTCCCTGCTCTATGTATGCCTGGCTGAGTTCCCATTTCCTAGAGCAGCATAATTAGCAAGATTTTGTGTGCACCTCATTTTTGCTACCAAACAAAAAAGAAAATATGTTTCTACTGCTTGCCCTTGCAAAAGGGCTTCAGTTCATGGTCCATCGCTTTTCTCTCTCTCCATACTCCCACCGTACCACAAGACGGGACATAGAGCAGGATCTCCTG